TTTTTTTTTTTTTTTTTTTTTTTTTTCCTTTACTATTAAAATATAGTTGTGTCTTCGTCTTTAAATCTTTAATTTCTTCTTTTCGAAAGTCATCGTCTATAAAATAGTTGAGTCATCGTCTTTAATTTATTTTTTTTCCTTCATTCACTCATAAAAATTATTACTGTTGCCTGTCAATTCTCTTATGCATTTTTTTAAAAAAATTTATAGCGACAGAAATGAACATCAAAGTGTTTTCTATATGTAACTATTAAGAGTTTGAACTTTTTTTTATAACGGAAGTTTGAACAATTCTTTTAAAAATAATAAAGAAGATTGATATGTGTTAAGGTTTTGGATTATCACCTATAAGTGGTTTACTTGCTACACATTGATAAAATACTGTCTGATGTTAAACTCCCCAACCTAATTAATTAGGACCGGTTCAAACATGATGAGGTCATTAAGGCTCTATAATTTTATTTTTTTTTTATGGCCCATAATTTTATATTAAGTTTTACTTAAAAAATAATTATTCACTAATTTAAATTAATAAATATATCTCATAATTAAAAGTTCCTCTTTTAAAGACATTGATTATCATTAAAACTTCTATTATTTAAATGTATTAATTAAAGGTTTCTCTTTCTCTAAATATTAATTCTCACTCAAAATTAGCTCAAACGTTTTATATTTGCTAATCATTCTCTTTTATTCTTAAAGAACTCTCGTGACATTCATGTTGAACCTTCATAATCCAATTATTTTGTTGTCTGACCCTATATTAGTTCATCATTTTTTAGAAGTCAGAAACTATCAAATCCAAGGTTACATTTTTTCCTTTTTTTTATTGTTATCTGATGTCTTTCACTTTTCCTTGTGTTGTTTAGTTGTTTGCAATACTTATTGAAAAGAGATATTTTTTAATGTTTTTTATTTTGCAGTGTTTGAAACACCTAAGTGTGATATTGTTCTTAACACCTACTCGGTTACTCTTTCAACTAAATTCGGTATGTTTTTTTTCTATCAATTTTTATTATTATTTTATAACATTGTATTTATATATTTTCTTTATTGACTTTTTCTATTCCATTTTAATTTTTCTTATTTCTATCACTTTTAGTTGCTCTAACCTTATTGGTTACTCGGTACATAAAATTGAAAGTTAGTGGAATTAATAAATAATTTTACATCTCTAAAAGTTTGAAAGATAAACTTTTAATAAAAAAAGAATATATCATTGAAATATTTTAATTTTTTTATCAACATATATTATTATTAATTTTAAAAGGCCCAATTTTATGATTTGCTTGAGGCTTAAAAATATGTTGGATCGACCTTGGACCTAACAATAGTATTAAAGTTAATGGTTCAATCAAGTGACTGGTAACTAACTTAGATGAGTATTGGCCAATAGAATAGGTAGTGGATCCAAGACTGGAATCCCTATTAGACAATGGAATTGGCAGGAGAGTCAAGAGTGGGATCATATGTCTTATGTCAGAAGTCTTCATGAAATGTCGGGGATGTGGTTCGTTAAAGTATGCTAACAGTTATACAAGTAAGCCAGCATTGAATACTCGTGGATAAGAAAGACTTTCGCTTGTAGGAGAGTGTAACTATATGGAAGAGACTCACACTTAAGGGGAAGTATTAGAGTTCAAGTGTGAATAAAGTCTCACATCAATAAGAGTTGAGCATGTTTAATAATATATAACTGAGAATAACTCATATACCTCATAATTTAAGGTTTTGGACTATAATATGGTGTTAAGTTCACTTATATGATGATTTATTTGTTATATTATACCTATTAGTAAAGTACTTTCTAGTATTTAACTCCTCAACCTAATAATATGAACATTTTATTATCACATTAACTCACAACATGGATATATATATATATATATATAAATATATACA